CTTCACATCCCTTGTAGGTTGTATTCCTAGGTATTTTATTCTCTTTGTAGCAGTTGTGAATGGGAGTTCACTCATGATTTGGCTCTCTGTTTGTCTATTAGTGGTGTATATGAATGCTTGTGATTTTCGCACATTGATTTTGTATCCTGAGACTTGCTGAAGTTACTTAACAGCTTAAGGAGTTTTTGGGCTGAGACGAGGGGGTTTTCTAAATATACAATCATGTCATCTGCAAAGAGAAACAATTTGACTTCCTCTCTTCTTATTTGAATATGCTTTATTTCTTTCTCTTGCCTGATTTCCCTGGCCAGAACTTCCAATACTATGTTGAATAGGAGTGGTGAGAGAGGGCATCCTTGCCTTGTCCCGGTTTTCAAAGGGAATGCGTCCAGCTTTTGCCCATTCAGTATGATATTGGCTGTGGGTTTGTCATAAATAGTTCTTAATATTTTGAGATACATTCCATCAATACCTAGTTTATTGAGTGTTTTTAGCATGAAGCGGTGTTGAATTTTATCGAAGACCTTTTCTGCATCTATTGAAATAATCATGTGGTTTTTGTCATTGGTTTTGTTTATGTGATGGATTGCATTTATTGATTTGCATATGTTGAACCAGCCTTGCATTCCTGGGGTGAAGCTGACTTGATCGTGGTGGATAAGCTTTTTAATGTGCTGCTGGATTCGGTTTGCCAGTATTTTATTGAAGATTTGTGCATCGATGTTCATCAGGGATATTGGCCTGAAATTCTCTTTTTTGTTGTGTTTCTGCCAGGTTTTGATATCAGGATGATGCTGGCCTCATAAAATGAGTTTGGGAGGAGTCCCTCTTTCTCTATTGTTTGGAATAGTTCCAGAAGGAATGGTACCAGTTCCTCTTTGTACCTCTGGTAGAATTTGGCTGTGAATCCGTCTATTCCTGGGCTTTTTTTGGTTGGTAGGCTATTAATTACTGCCTCAATTTCAGAACTTGTTATTGGTTTATTCAGGGATTCAACTTCTTCCTGGTTTAGTCTTGGGAGGGTGTGTGTGTCCAGGAATTTATCCATTTCTTCTAGGTTTTCTACTTTATTTGCATAAAGGTGTTTATAGTAGTCTCTGATGGTAGTTTGTATTTCTGTGGGATCAGTGGTGATCTCCCATTTAACATTTTTTATTGTGTCTATTTGATTCTTCTCCCTTTTCTTCTTTATTATTCTGGCTAGTGGTGTATCTATTTTGTTAATCTTTTCAAAAAACCAGCTCCTGGATTCACTGACTTTTTTGGAAGGGTTTTTTGTGTCTCTATCTCCTTCAGTTCTGCTCTGATCTTAGTTATTTCTTGTCTTCTGCTAGCTTTTGAATGTGTTTGCTTTTGCTTCTCTAGTTCTTTTAATTGTGATGTTACGGTGTCGATGATCTTTCCTGCTTTCTCTTGTGGGCATTTAGTGCTATAAATTTCCCTCTAAATACTGCTTTAGCTGTGTCCCAGAGATTCTGGTACATTATGTCTTTGTTCTTATTGGTTTCAAATAGCTTATTTATTTCTGCCTTAATTTCGTTATTTACCCAGAAGTCATTCAGGAGCAGGTTGTTCAGTTTCCAAGTAGTGGTGCGGTTTTGAGTGAGTTTCTTAATCCTGAGTTCTAATTTGATTGCACTGTGGTCTGAGAGACTGTTTGTTATGATTGTCGATCTTTTGCATTTGCTGAGGAGTGTTTTACTTTAATTATGTGGTCGATTGTAGACCACTTTAATTATGTGGTCGATTTTAGAATAAGTGTGATGTGGTGCTGAGAAGAATGTATATTCTGTTGATTTGGGGTGGAGAGTTCTGTAGATATCTATCAGGTCTGCTGGGTCCAGAGCTGAATTCAAGTCCTGAATATCCTTGTTAATTTTCTGTCTCGTTGATCTGTCTAATACTGACAGTGTGGGGTTAAAGTCTCCCACTATTACAGTGTGGGAGTCTAAGTCTCTTTGTAGGTCTCTAAGAACTTGCTTTATGAATCTGGGTGCTCCTGCATTGAGTGCATATGTATTTAGGATAGTTAGCTCTTCTTGTTGCATTGATCCCTTTACCATTATGTAATGCCCTTGTTTCTCTTTTTTGATCTTTGTTGGTTTAAAGTCTGTTTCATCAGAGACTAGTATTGCAACCCCTGCTTTTTTTGTTTTGTTTTGTTTTGCTTTCCATTTGCTTAGTAAATCTTCTTCTATCTCTTTATTTTGAGACTATCTGTGTCTTTACACATGAGATGGTTCTCCTAAATATAGCACACTAATGAGTCCTGACTCTATCCAATTTGCCAGTCTGGGCCTTTTAATTGGGGCATTTAGCCTGTTTACCTTTTAGGTTAATATTGTTATGTGTGAATTTGATCCTGTCATTATTATGCTAGCTGGTTATTTTGCCCATTAGTTGATGCAGTTTCTTCATAGTGTAGATGGTCTTTACATTTTGATATGTTTTTGCAGTGGCTGGTAGCAGTTTTTCCTTTCCATATTTAGTGCTTCCTTCAGGACCTCTTGTAAGGCAGTCCTGGTGGTGACAAAATCCCTCAGCATTTGCTCGTCTGTAAAGGATTTTATTTCTCCTTCACTTATGAAGCTTAGTTTGGCTGGATATGACATTCTGGGTTGAGAAATCTTTTCTTTAAGAATGTTGAATATTGGCCCACTCTCTTCTGGCTTGTAGGGTTTCTGCTGAGGGATCCACTGTTAGTCTGATGGGCTTCCCTTTGTGGGTAACTCGACCTTTCTCTCTGGCCGCCCTTAACATTTTTTACCTTCATGTCAACCTTGGTGAATCTGACGATTATGTGTCTTGGGGTTGCTCTTCTTGACAAGTATCTTTGTGGTGTTCTCTGTATTTCCTGAATTTGAATGTTGGCCTGTCTTGTTGGGTTGGGGAAGTTCTCCTAAATAATATCTTGAAGTGTGTTTTCCAACTTGGTTCCATTCTCCCCATCACTTTCAAGTACACCAATCAAACATGGGTTTGGTCTTTTCACATATTTCTTGGAGGCTCTGTTTGTTCCTTTTCATTCTTTTTTCTCTAATCTTGTCTTCACGCTTTATTTCATTAAGCTGATCTTCAATCTCTGATATCCTTTCAGAGGATAGCTTGATTGATTCGGCTATTGATACTTGTGTATGCTTCACGAAGTTCTTGTGCTGTGTTTTTCAGCTCCATCAGGTCATTTATGTTCTTCTCTAAATTGGTTATTTTAGTTAGAAATTTCTCTAACCTTTTATCGAGGTTCTTAGCTTCTTTGAATTGGGTTAGAACATGCTCCTTTAGCTCGGAGGAGTTTGTTATTACCCACCTTCTGAAGCCTACTTCTGTCAATTCATCAAACTCATTCTCCATCCAGTTTTGTTACCTTGCTGGCGAGGAGTTGTGATCCTTTGGAGGAGAAGAGGCATTCTGGTTTTTGGAATTTTCAGCCTTTTTGTGCTGGGTTTTCCTCATCTTCGTGGATTTATTTACCTTCAGTCTTTGATGTTGGTGACCTTCGGATAGGTTTTTTTGTGAATGTCCTTTTACTTGATGTTGATGCTATTGTTTTCTGTTTGTTAGTTTTCCTTCTAACAGTCAGGCCCTTCTTCTTCAGATCTGCTGGCGTGTGCTGGGGGTCCACTCCAGACCCTTTGCCTGGGTATCACCAGTGGAGGCTGCAGGATAGCAAAGACTGCTGGCCTGCTCCTTCCTCTGGAAGCTTCATCCCAGAGAGGCACTCGCCAGATGCCAGCAGGAGCTCTCCTGTATGAGGTGTCTGTCGACCCCTGCTGGGCAGTGTCTCCCTGTCAGGAGGCTAGGAGGTCAGGGACCCACTTGAGGCAGTCTGTCCCTTAGCAGAGCTCCAGCACTGTGCTAGGAGATCCGCTGCTCTCTTCAGAGCCAACAGGCAGAAACATTTAAGTCTGCTGAAGCTACACCCATAGCTACCCCTTTCCCCAGGTGCTCTGTCCCAGGGAGATGGGAGGTTTTTTTTGTTTTTTGGGGTTTTTTTGAGACGGAGTCTCGCTCTGTCGCCCAGGCTGGAGTGCAGTGGCCGGATCTCAGCTCACTGCAAGCTCCACCTCCCGGATTTATGCCATTCTCCTGCCTCAGCCTCCCGAGTAGCTGGGACTACAGGCGCCCGCCACCTCGCCTGGCTAGTTTTTTGTATTTTTTAGTAGAGACGGGGTTTCACCATGTTAGCCAGGATGGTCTTGATCTCCTGACCTCGTGATCCGCCCATCTCGGCCTCCCAAAGTGCTGGGATTGAGATGGGAGTTTTATCCAGAAGCCCCTAACAGGGGCTGCTGCCTTTCTTTCAGCGATTCCCTGCCCAGAGAAGAGGAATCTAGAGAAAGTCTGGTTACTGTGGCTTTGCGGCACTGCGGTGGACTCCACCCAGTCTGAACTTCCCGGCAGCTTTGTTTACACTGTGAGGGGAAAACCGACTACTCAAGCCTCGGTAATGGTGGACACTGCTCCCCCCAGCAAGCCTGAGCTTCCCAGGTCAACTTCAGATTGCTGTGCTGGCAGCAAGAATTCAAGCCAGTGAATCTTAGCTTGCTGGGCTCCATGGGGGTGACATCCGCTGAGCAAGACCACTTGGCTCCCTGGCTTCGGTCCCCTTTCCAGGGCAGTGAACATTTCTGTCTTGCTATTGTTCCAGGAGCCACTGGAGTATGAAAAAAAAACCCAAAAAACAAAAAACTCCTGCAGCTAGCTTGGTGTCTGCCCAAATGGCCACCAAGTTTTGTGCTTGAAACCCAGGACCCTTGTGGTGTAGGCACCCAAGGGAATCTCCTGGTCTGTGGGTTGGGAAGACCATGGGAAAAGCATAGTATCTAGGCCAGAAAGCACCATTCCTCAGGGCAAGGTCCCTCACAGCTTCCCTTGGCTATGGGAGGGAGTTCCCCAACCCCTTGTGCTTCCTGGGTGAGATGATGCCCCACCCTGCTTCTGCTTGCCCTCCGTGGGTTGCACCCACTGTCTAACCAGTCCCAGTGAGATGAGCCGAGTACCTCAGTTGGAAATGCAGAAATCACCCGCCTTCTGCGTTGATCTCACTGGTTGCTGCAGACTGGAGCTGTTCCTATTCGACCATCTTGCCCAGGAACTCGAATTGCACTATTATAATAAGAAAAAAATAAGTTCACCTGAAAGCAGGTAGCATGAAAAGTGTGTTAGAAAAAGACAGACTAGAGTCCAGCAAATCAAATAAGAGGCTATTGCAATTACCCAAGGACAAAGAAATAAAGGCCTGGATTAAGACTGTAGGAGTATATGCTAAAAAAAAGGAATAGATGGCAACAAGAGGTTTCTAAGAAGAATAAATAGGGAAGTTATGATTGATTAGCTATAAATCATGGAAGGTGATATGGTTTGGTTGTGTCCCACCCAAATCTCATCTTGAATTGTAGTTCCCATAATCTCCATGTGCTCCATGTGTCATGGGAGGGACTTGGTGGGAGGTAATTGAATCATGGAGGTGGTTACCTCCATGTTGTTCTCCTGATAGTGAGTTCTCACGAGATCTGATGGTTTTAAAAGGGGCTTTTCTCCCACTTCACTTTGCATTTCTCCTTGCTGCTGCCAAGTGAAGAACGTGTTTGCTTCCCTTTCCACCATGATTGTACGTTTCCCGGGGCCTCCCTAGCTATGCAGAACTGTGAGTCAATTAAACCTCTTTCCCTTATAAATTATCCAGTCTCTGGTATGTCTTTATCAGCAGCATGAGAATGGGCTAATACAGAAGGGCTATGTTAAGAATTTATTCAAAATAGGTCAAGGAGATCAGAGATTAGTGACGATGGTCAAAGAGGGAAAGAAATTAAGATAAGTCAGTTTGTAGAGAAGGAGGTGCTAACTTCATTTCGGGGGCATGGTGAGTTTGCAGTACCAGTGGGACATGGAAATGTTCAGAATTCAGCCAGATAGAGACTATGGTTAGAAATAGAGGTTGGGGAGCAGTCAGCATTGAGGAGATAAGTGAAGCCATGGGACTGAATGAGCTCTAAAAGGGAGAGTGTAGAAAGGAAGGATTGAAATACTGATAAAAGCTAGAGTTAAGTGACAGGAAGAGGAGGGAAAAGAAGAAAAGGCACAGAGTGGTACAAGGAGAATCATCCAAATGTTGTTGAAATGACTTCACAAAATAGATGTTGAGTGGTGTTAAAGAAACCAAAGAAGACAAAGACTAGGAAAAGTCATTTAATTTGGCAAGAGATCACCCTTTGAGAGGCAGTGTTCAATGTGGTGTGGTGACAGAATCTAGAATACAGGTGCTGGAGCCAAGGAACAGAAAAAGATTTTTGTGGGCAATGTGACCATTCAAGAGTACATCTGTTTTAAAAGAAGCTGTTGTAATATAAGACTCCCAGAAAAAGGCAACCTGAGTCAAAGTGCTAGATAATGAGGAAAACAGAAGTCTGAAATCATTGTGCTGCATACATCCAACCTGCATATTACACAAATATAAAAGCTAGTAACTCACTGGGCAGGGTAGAAGGAGGATCTAAAACAAAAGACATGAGGGACACAGACTGCATCTACACACAGTGATGTGGAGGACTCTCACAAGCAATATGAAGGGCAAGAAACCAGCCACAAAAGAAATCAGACAGAAAAGAGTGTTATTATGTAGTGTTTGTAAATCTATTTACATACAATTCAAAGATGGGCCAAATTAATCTATACTGTTATGGGCTGAGGTGACCAGGAATCACTTTGTGCAGAAAGACCTCAAAAAACAAGAAGCAGCAGTTCACGCCACATTGAATACTGCCTCTCAAAGGGTGATTCTTGCAAAATTGAATGGCCTTTCCCTAGTCTTCACCCTCTTTGGCATCTTTGTTTAACACCACTCAACACCTATTCTGTGAAATCATTTCAACATCATTTGGATGATTCTCCTTGTACCACTCTGTGCTTTTTCTTGTTTTCCCTCCTCTTCCTGTCACTTAACTCTAGTTTTTATCAGCATATCAATCTTTCCTTCCTACACTCTCCCTTTTAGAGCTAAGTCAAGATAGTGGGTGCCCTGTGGAAAGCAAGTGGAAGTAGGCCCAATAGTGGCTTCAGGGCTGCTAATCATGTACTGGTTATTGGTGGAGGTGCTAGTTACAAAGGTGTGTTCACTTTGTGATAACTCATAAAGCTGTACACTTATAATGCATGTGCTTTTCCGTCCACATGTTTCAATTAAAAGTTTTAAAAAAAATAAGCAAAAGGAGTCTACTTGGACTAGAATGGTGAAAAGCTCTCAGACCTTCAGTTTTAAATAGAACTGCTGGTGGCTGAGAGATTAGAGTAGGACTACATGGTCTCTTCTTTATTCTCAGATAATGTTTACATTTGTCTGAATGTCTTGATTTTTAACAAATCTCCATTGTTTATTTTTACATATTTGTTGAACCTGAGGGTTAAAATCAGAGAAAATCCTTGAACTTTTCCAATCTGACCTATACAAGTGATATGACTTGAGTTAAAGCCAGAATTTGACATGATGCAGGCAGAAATGCTACTTTGCTTGCATTCAGAAGGTCCCAGAGCTCTCCAACTTCATTATTTCTCCAAGTGGAGCATTTTATAAAACATTCCATTTTTTCCACCTGCTTCAAGCATTAATCTAGACAAAAGTTCCCATCACATATGAATCCAAATAACAACCCCAAATGAGTAATTCTGAGAAGTATACATCTTGTCCTTCACATATAATTGCTTATATGATGACATATTTAATTAATCTAATTTTATTAATTTAAAAGTTATTTAAGTAGGTTACTTTTTATGCTTGGAGGCTGTTCAAAGGTGATTACACATAACCCTTTCTGTGCTTTGGAACATATCCCTGTTTTAAAACATTCACAAGGGACAGTCTTGTAGCTAAGTACATAAGGTCCCTCCAGGTCCCTCGGCTTTGCAATCTTTTATCTCCAATGCATAAAAATGAACATGATGACTTTGTTCCCTTTTCCTTCCACTAATTGTTAATTGATGTTTATTACATTATGGCTATCTCCAAGACTCGTAAGAGAGTCTGAAATATACTGAGTAATTCTGTAGTTACCTATGAAAAGGAAGAAAATCAACACAATGATCATCGTGTACCCAAAGTACAAAATAGAGCTCACAATTTCTGTGATTTGAAGTTTGACAGAGAAGTAATGAACTGCATACGTAAAAAGATAAACAGCTATAAAGCTTCTGGTTAAAAAGGATCGCCACCACCAATGATGATCCTGTAAAAAGAAGTAGAAAAAAAAATGACTTTTCAGATGAAATTTTAACCATAAATGGGTTAGCAGTTATAACAAGAACAAAAGATAAACTTCATAAAATAATGGATTAAAAGGAATAAAAGAGAAATTTGTATAAGAAATTTAATAAAATATGTAATGTATGTCCTGCTTGGGGTGTCCTAACAATTGTCAACTCTTTGTTTCCAGGGATACCACATGTGCTCTCTGGGATTGGACTTTTAATTTGTGCAGGCTGACTATCATAACATTGCCTCAGCCCTGGAAGGCATTCAGTTCAGCTTCTACATACTGGCCAGAGTTGTGCTATGCCTATTGATGCCTCAGGCCAGGCATTTTTTTAAAAGGGGGATAATATAGAAATTTAGGCTAGACCTTGGGGTTAATAAGATTTGCTTTAACTGGCTCAATTCAGGACCCACGGTTGGCATAACTGAGGTCAATGCTGCAGGTTGGTCTCACCCTGTTCCATGGACTCCTACTGATGATAATATTATTGCAAAGACACTGTGGCCAAGGACCATGGGGAAAGACAGTGGAGAAAAGAATTAACAGCAGATCTGAGGCTACTATCTTTAGAAAGTCTGCTTGCAAGGTTGGCCCTTGGCTTGCATCTGGGAATTTGGCATTTAGTCATTCCCTGACTGATGTAGACTGGTTTGCTATGCCTAGACTATACAGACAATGTGATTTATGGTGAATACTTGCTTTCCTTTGGGGAGTCTGGAATTTTGTAGTTGCTAGGCAGAGGGTGCCTATGTGACTACTCCCAGTAAAAACCTTGGATGCTGAATCTCTAATGGGCTTCCCTGGGCAGAACATTGCACATTTATTACTGCATTTCTCACTGCTGGAGAAAGAAGCAAACTCAGTGTGCTCTCTAAGGGGAGGGAGACAACATAGGAAGGCTGTGCCTGGATTTCTCCAGGCTCCACCTGTCTTTTTCCCTCACTGATCCTGTGGGCATCCTTTCTGTAGCCTACTCATGTATGCATCTGTATGCCTAGTCCCACGAGTCCTTCTAGTGAGTCACCAAACATGTGGGTAGTCTTCAGGACCCCCCAAACATTTTCTTAGGAATAAAAACATATCCATTATATGCTTATTATTGTATGCCTCATTAATGATTGCTGCAGATTCTCTAAGGCAAAATGTACATAGAATTAATGACCAGCTGATATGGTTTGGCTGTGTCCCCACTGAAATCTCAACTTGAATTGTATCTCCCAGAATTCCTGCGTGTTATGGGAGGGACCCAGGGGGAGGTAATTGAATCATGGCGGCCTGTCTTTCCCATGCTATTCTCGTGATAGTGAATAAGTCTCATGAAATCTGATGGGTTTATCAGGGCTTTCCACTTTTGCTTCCTCTTCATTCTTCTCTTGCTGCCATGTAAGAAATGCCTTTCGTCTCCCGCCATGATTCTGAGGCCTCCCCAGCCATGTGGAACTGTAAGTCCAATTAAACCTCTTTTTGTTCCCAGTTTTGGGTATGTCTTTATCAGCAGTGTGAAAATGAACTAATACACCGGCTAAGTATAAGTATACGACATAAACATATTTAAGTATATATACAGTTATATTTTGTACCTCTATACCAATAGCACAAGAAGAAAATGTCTAAGACAACATGTATATAAGAATCATTCCCTGAACCCTCCATTGTCTGTCATCCTTGAAGAGTCATATTTAACGACCAAAATGAAATGGATTTAGGGGATTTAAGAGAACAATGGACACTAACAGCTCAGTCATCCAGAATGATAGCGGGGAAAAATGGGACTGGGGAAAAAAAACTATTTATGTCTGTGGTAACCAAAAGGCAATAAACCGAAAGAAGAGAAAGGACCTTTAGCCACAATCTCAAACCAACAAACCAGAATCCTGGCTTAAGCTGCAAAGAAAAAATTTAATTGTTAAAAAGAAAACATCGGCCGGGCGTAGTGGTTCATGCCTGTAATCTCAGCTCTTTGGGAAGCCAAGGCGAGCGGATCACTTGAGCCCAGGAGTTCGAGACCAGCCTAGGCAACATGGCAAAACCCCGTCTCTACTAAAAACACAAAAATTAGCTGGGTGTGGTGGCAGTCACCTGTAATCCCAGCTACTAGAGAGGCTGAAGCAGGAGAATCGCTTGAACCCTGGAGGCAGACATTGCAATGAGCCGAGATTGCGCCACTGCACTCCAGCCTGGGCAACAGAGTGAAACCCTGTCTCAAAAAAAAAGAAAAGAAAAGAAAAGAAAAGGGGAAAAAAAAAGATATCATTGAACTTCATAAATATTAAATTAGTCCCTTATATTTTTCTGTTAACTGAATATCATGCAGCAATTACAATAACCAGCCAAAGAGAAATCACTTTCTATTTAAATTTTCCATTAAAGCAGCCTTAACTTGATAGCCACATTAAAGTCAAAATGTGTTAATAGGAAAACACAATGTAATACTGATCCCAAGTTGTAGAAACATGCAGTTATCATTTATTTCAATTCTTTTCTAAACACAGACTTCCAATTCCAATAATGCAAGTATAGAAAATGTAAGATGCATTAGTTTCTTGTGGCTTTACCTCAGCACATAAATGAAAATAATACAGTAAAACTGTAACTTCTGAGCAAGTAATCACAAGACTTATAAAGACTAAGAAAAGGAAGCCAAACATGTAGTACAGCTAACGAGACCTGAAAATAAAAAGAGGTTTAAATAAACTTTAACTCAACAGTGCACACAGAAAGATCAATCCAAGCCTATAAAATAGACAGTCACACATTTCTCTAAACCTTTTTTTTTTCTTTTTTTTTCCCCCTAAACATTCAAATCTGTATTCCAAACCTTCACCTATCCATCAAGTACCAAAAAATAGTCCCTTACCTATGCAGTTTCAGAGTTTGGTCATATCTTCTCTAGTCAGAACCAGTGCTGCTACTTACTCATGTTTCTCTGTTCATATAAGTTAGTTCTCACTTGAGACTCATCAATATCACCATAATTTTCTCCATACATATTTTAAAACATTCTCTTTAGAAATGGAAGGCTGCAAGTGCCATAAATACCAACAACTACATCATAAAACAGAAAACCACAGATTCAAATACCACTTTTGCCTTAGAAGGCCTGTTGACATTCAGCTTTTCCAAATATGTCTTTATAGCACAGCACACATAATTCTACTAAATATACTTTCAAACATGCATTTAAAAAAAAATCTGTGTGTAGATTACATCTAGGTGAAACTTTGAAAGACTGAAGTTAATTCTCTTGGTTATTATAGACCTGAGCTAAGTTGGGATGATCAATGCCCATTCCAATTAATTAATTAATACTTTAGAGACAGGGTCTTACTGTGTCACCCAGGCTAGAGTGCAGTGGTGTGATCACAGCTCACTGCAGTCTCAACCTCCTGAGTTCAAGTGATCCTCCTGCCTCAGCCTCTCAAATAGGTGGAACTTACAGGCTAATTTTTTATTTTATTTTATTTTATTTCATTTTTTTTTTTTTTTTTTTTGAGGCAGAGTCTGGCTCTCTTGCCCAGGCTGGAGTGCAGTGGCCAGATCTCAGCTCACTGCAAGCTCCGCCTCCTGGGTTCACGCCATTCTCCTGCCTCAGCCTCCCGAGTAGCTGGGACTACAGGCGCCCGCCATCTCGCCCGGCTAGTCTTTTGTATTTTTTAGTAGAGACGGGGTTTCACTGTGTTAGCCAGGATGGTCTCGATCTCCTGACCTCGTGATCCGCCCGTCTCGGCCTCCCAAAGTGCTGGGATTACAGGCTTGAGCCACCGCGCCCGGCCTATTTTATTTCATTTGTAGAGACAGGATCTTGCTATGTTGCCCAAGGCTGGCCTTGAACTCATGGCCTCAAGTGATTCCCCAGCCTCCCAAAATGCTGGGATTAAAGGCGTGAGCCACCACACCCAACCACAACATCCATTTTTAAAAGCCTTCTAGAAATAAAAATAAATTGATGAACCGATCAATACCCCACCTAAAAATCTCATGTAAAATATATACCTGAGTATGAGAGTGAGGGATGAGGGTTGAGGAGAAGCATCTCTCTAGATAATAAATATATACAAATATATACAAAGTTGTATGCAACAAACACATTGCTTCAAGACCAGCTTGGCCAATATGTTGAAACCCTGTCTCTACTAGAAATACAAAAATCAGCTGGGCATAGTGGTACACGCCTGTAGTCCCAGCTACTTAAGAGGCTGAGACACGAGAATTGCTTGAACCCGGGAGGCAGGTAGAGGTTGCAGTGAACCGACATCACACCACTGCACTCCAGCCTGGGTGACAGAGTGAGATCCTGTCTCAAAAAAATAAAATAAAAAACAAGCACATTGTTTTTCATTGAAATGAAAATTAATTGTCTGAAAAACCTTTTAGTTTTCATTGTAAAACTACTTTCCCATCAAGAACGTCTGGAAAATATGGTTACTATAACCTATTTTGCAGCTTGGTTTTTTTTTTTTTTTTTAGATGGAGTCTCACTCTGTCACCCAAGCTGGAATGCAGTGGCATGATCTCAGCTCACTGCAACCCCCGCCTCCCGGATTCAAGTGATTCTCATGCCTCAGCCTCCCGAGTAGCTGGGATTACAGGCAGTCACCACCACACCCGGCTAATTTTTGTATTTTTAGTAGAGATGGGGTTTCACCATGTTGGCCAGGCTGGTCTCGAACGCCCGATCTCAAGTGATCCACCTGCTTCGGCCTCCCAAAGTGCTGGAATTACAGGTGTGAGCCACCATGCCCAGCCAAAAAAGTAAATCTTTATAAATATTTCCATCAAAAAGTACCCTTTAAAAGTTGTGAATTCAACAGGGTGACTATAGTCAATAATAATTTAATTGTACATTTTTAAATAACTAAAAAAGTATAACTGTATTGTTTGAAACACAAAGGATAAATGCTTGAGGGGATAGATACCTCATTCTCCATAGATGTGATTACTATGCACTGCATGCCTGTATCGAAACATCTCATGTACCCCATAAATATACACACCTACTGTGTACCCACAAAAATTAAAAATAAATTTTTTTAAGTCATGAATTCAGCCTCAGTTCTCTAGGAAATTCTTCTAGGTCAGATTGTTATTTACTGGATAAAGTGGAGGTAAATGAAGTATTATCATACCAGAATTTAACCTCCTTAAAATATAGGAATGTTAATTTACTAAAAACTAACACTTTTAAAATTATGAAGATGTAATACTCACCAAATACTGTTCAGAATGAAAAAGAGTTGAATAAAAATACAACTGAAGGGTAAAATGCCACCAATTATGATGCCAAGAAGTGGTTTTGTAAAGAAATTCTATGGAGGAATCTGACAGGGGATCTGGTTTGTATGAACTGGACAAGTAATCTGCTCGGAAATAAATGAAGTGAAAATCAGAATGAAATGAAACTGAAAAACATCTATATAGATGTTATCACAAAACAGAATCTTGAATCTGAAGAGGGCATGGAATATTTACAGGAGCATTTTTCTCAAAGGCAGCTTTAAGAAAACAACAATTGTTTAAGAAAACAACAAAAAGCAGTCGTGTGGGCAGGCGCTAGGCCAGTGCTGTGCAATGGAAGTATAATGCAAGCTACATGTGTACTTTTAAATTTTTTATTAGCCCCCTTAAAAAATTAAAAATAAACAGATGGAATTAATTTCAACATTGTATTTTATTTAGTCTAACATGTCCAAATATTATGATTTATACTTGTCTTAATATAAAATTATTGAGCAAATATTTCATATTATCTTTGTCATTGATCTAAGTGTTCAAAATCTGGTATGTATTTTCCACATAGGGCCCATCTCAATTCAGACAGCCACATTTCAGGTGCTCAACAGCCACATGCAGCCAGTGGCACCATACTAAAGGATACACAGCTAAACAATCAATAAGGATATTTATCCTTTTTTATAATTTCCAAGGGAGAGACTGGAAAGATTTACCAGTGACTATTCTAGTGCAAAATAATCTAAAATGTCCAAAAGTTCTCTCTTAGAATTTGTCTGAGAATGTGTCAATAGTTTTCAGAAAATTTTCTTTTTGCTGCTCTCTGTGGAACTCCACCTCCCATTTTGTCTTTTCCAACATTTCTTCTGCAATCTCATGCTATATCCTTGAATAGTTTTTTGGTTGTGTGGCCTCATTGAGACTTTTTGGTATCCTATACCTTTTTCTGATATGTGGAATAGGCTAACTTCAAATCTGTAAACTGAATAGCCCCATTTCTTGGACTACATCTTGACTGTCTTCTCC